CAATTCACGGCGGCCCAACCAAATTTTTCCCGCAACCAAATTTTTTCAGTTGAAAGGGGTATCGAGGAGAACAAATCGAAGGCTAAGGTGAAGAAGAAATTGATTTTTCGGCGATTGACACTTGAAAATAGAAAACAAATGCAAACGAGAGAAATGGGAAACAAATTTGGAAAACTGAATCTCTATGTCCTGATAGATTAACGACGTGCAAAAATCATTCTCCTACATTCCGCTGGACCCGCCCCAATCCCCGACCGATTTGACGCCCTGCGGCGGCGGGGCCGCCGTTATGCACAATATTCGGCGTTGCCATCTCAGCCAACGCCTCCACCAAACTCTCCACCACCACCCCCATGGACTGTGCCGCCGCGAACAAGGCCACAGCGAGCAAGGCCACCGCCTTCGGCCAGCTCCGCGCTCCCCCACCTCGATTTGTCGGTAAACAACTTCACCGGCAACATATCTCCAAAGTCTGGAACTTAACAGATCTGAGAAATCTGAATCTTTATTGTAATCTGTTGAATGTAAGTTCCGACTCGTTCTTTATTTTTTGAGAAATCTGGTTAACTTAGATCTGGAGCTTCAGGCTCGTTCTTATTTTTTATTTTTTGTTTTAATTTTGTAGTTTCATTTCTTTTTCCTTCTAGGTGTATATATATTTCCACCTCATTTTAATTTTTTGATTTCCACATTGGCACAATTATTTCCAAATGACATAATTAGTTTATTAAATACAATTGAAGCCGCCACATCCCACCATGTCAGATAAAAAATTGACACATCACGCCACGTCACATTTTTATTCGGGGTATAGATAAAAAAAGACCAAAATTGATTAAATTGTCGAATTATTAGACCCAACTTGAAAGTGGTAAATAACGGGGTGAGTTTTTGGACAGTGTCCAACTTATATGACCAATTTTTAAATTTTGGTATCCTGCTCCATATCTACCCATACCAACCCCCACCTAACGAAATCTGGAAAAACCCTCACCCGAAAACCACAAAACCACCCCAACCCCAAATTCTCTAATCTAAACCTAATCTGCCACAGGAAATCGTCAAACAAAGCCCCAGACGAATGAAAAATCAATGGTTAGAAGATAGTTGAATAGCATAAGGTAATTGACAAACCCTAGAATTAAAAAGATCTGGAAGATCCATTAATGGCGAAAAAAACTCGACACACAATAATACCCAACAAAGATAAACGATAACATGTCACAAGACTCAAGAAGACTAGAAGAAAATCGAACAAGATAATGTAACGTGGAAAATCAATCAGAAAGCAAGGAAAAAAACAAGCAAACTCCAACTAGTGGAACGAGACTCTAGAGAGAAAACTTCCACAGAGGAGACTAAACTAATGATTAGTTAATCATTAATATCTAGCAATTAATAGCAACAATAGAAACAATTAAATAATTCCATAATATCGAATTCTCAAATGTTAATTTTCGAAATATAATTTCAAAAATTATGATAATATTGCATTCAACCAATTTTATAACATTCCAATACACCAATTTTATTACTTACATTCCAATACATTTAACACTATGCAGATAAAGAACCATGCATTATATTATATGCATTTTAAAACAGAAAAGAATCAGTTCAGTATCAATTTATAATTTCAATACCGCTTCTGTATTTCATAGTTCAGTAGCAATATCACATGGATTCCATGTCATTAAAAAAAAAAAAAAAAAAAAAAAAAAAATGAAATGCCATTTTTCTATGATAAATGTGATTGTTAAGGAAGACCAGGTCCAAAATTATATAAACCCAAGAAAAATAACTAACAAAAAATGACTGATGAGAAAAGGCCCCTACAAACTCCAGTAGAACATTTTACACAGACAATGTTACAAATAAGAAAAGCTTTGCGCTGCTAACAGGAAATGTATCCTTAAAATATACCGAGGAAAACAAATAACTTAACTCTTGTGTATTATAAGAAGGGAACTATAATATCATATTTCGCAGTTCAGAAGCATCCTCGGAATATTATACATTTTTATGGAACAAAACGGAAGCTGGAAGATCCTTTTGCTGCTGCTAATTAATCCTTGTTATTCACAAAAAATAATTGCCCTCGCATCTTATGAAAGACAAAACGCAACTCGTCTGTTCAAACACATTTGGCCTTCTCAGCTCGGAAAAGCGTTAGTTCTCATGGGATTTAAACTTCAATTCAAGGAGATTGGACACTCAATCACTGTCACTGTTATACCCACCAGCTGGTTTAACAAAAACAGCGAAGAAATATAAATAAATAAATACAGTAACATCACTTGAAAGATAAAAGGAATAGTTACAAAATTACCCCAAATGGTATCCTAATTATAACGAGAAATGCTATAGGTACATAATATTGTAAATAAAGTTGTACATAACACTCACATTAAGTAGGTCCTACCATCATCAACATCAACATCAACATACCCAGTATATTCCCAACAGGTTGGGATCTGGAGGGTCAGTTGTACGCAGACCTTACCCTTGTAATTATACAAGGAGGCTGTTTCCATAGCGACCCAAGGTGCGTTGCGTCGTTTGATATATTTTTTTTTTAGAAACTTCACTAATAGAAGAAGCACTAGAATATAAAATTAAGTAGGTCCTACCAAAAATATAAAATTAAGTGGACCCCACTCCATGTGAGTGTTATGTACACTCTTATGTATATTTATTATGTACTTGTAGCATTTTTCTTTAACTAATATACCAAGTCAATAATAGGTGCAAAAAGTTTAACAATAAGAATGTATATTACCGCTTGAGGTTTGGTTCAATTACAAATATATCCTTGTTGAATTACAAAAAATAGCCTCGACAAGGTTTTCTCTTGCATAAGCAGCAAATGTTGGAAAACAGCATAGAAGATTACCTCCGGAAGGTCTTTTTCCTTCCATGGCCTCTCTTTTGTGTTGGCAGGTGGAGCAGAGGAAAGGACCGTCCCAAGGTCTCAATTTTCCAGTGCCGACGTGTATGGAGATACCTTCTCCTGGTTTTATTTCCACTCCGCAGACCGCACACATAAACAGCTTAAACATGTTACACACCGGGTACTTAGCATCCAACCTGTATTATTGTATTTTATTGTATTCAATTTCACAGTATTTTATAACATATGTAGATTATTATTATTATTATTATTATTATTATTATTATTATTATTATTATTATTATTATTATTATTATTATTATTATTATTATTATAAGTAAAACCTTTCTGAAAGAGAAGCCGAGCCTTCCTCGAAGAGTTCCTCCACGAAATCCGGTTCGCTATACTCTTCCTTGTCAACCTGAGAAGATGACTCTGCGTTTTTTCTACGGAACATGGCCTTGAAAACCCGTTTTCCTTGTTTCTTGGGAGGTGGTTGTGCCTTTTGCGGGTCCTCCGCTTTCTCAGCCGCTTGGATATCCACAACAATACACGTCGTGTCGTCTCGAAGACCCTTAACCTGCACAGCTTCCTGCACCAAACAAAATGCTTCAAAAATATGAATTATTAACAAGTAAAAATGGGAAAGGAACAAGTTCAAATAAATGTTACTTTGACAATCTGTGAAGCTGCAGCATCAGCTGGCATTCCTCGACAGCACTCGAAGGCTGTTTCCACAGACAAAGCGTCCCAAACACCATCACTTGAGATTATAAGCCTCCCACCACTCGATGATAGCTGCACATCCAAGATTCAAACATTTACCCAAAACAAAAGTCGAGACTGATAAATCTTCCAAAGTAAAAATCCCAAATGCTATATTTCATATTAATTAGTCTAATTATTATATAAAAGACCCCAGTTGTGTTTCAAATTCCCATATACCATCGGGGAGCATATGTTTCAATTTTATAAATTGCATCTACGAACCATTTATAATTTGAGAAGATAAAGACACACAAACTGGAGGAGGTAATTTATAATTTGACAAGATAAAGAGAGCTTCCTGCCATTAGATGAGCACTTTTTTTGTAATGATCTCGTAATTTCTCATACTCAATTGACGGATAAAAATAATTATGTCACGTTTAAAGTTTGTAGTAATTAATCTCAGAACCATTTATGAACATCCATCATTATATTTGATAACTCGAGATTTAACTTAAACATAAATGTGCATAGTGTTTTAAGCAGAAGAAAGACTGGGTTTGCTTGTGAAAAACATTATCAACTTCATGTTCCTACTCAAGAACACATTCTGAATGCATAGTGTAGCAAACAGGATCACAATAACTCCTTCAATCTTTAGGAAGACACAGGCTTAAATTTAGCAGGAAGGCAGCAAAATAGGGGAAAAAAAGACGAACCTTTACTTGCTTCACATAAGGTACAGGAACTATGAACTCTCCAACATCCATATCCCCAATAGATCGTGAAAGACATAGCCCGCCAGGCCAACATCTTAATGGACCAATCTACAATACGAAAAAGCAAAAATGGTTAGAACTTATAATATCATAGTTGATATACTGATGATATATATTTGAGCCTGACAGTCAAAATAGAGCTTAGAACACACCCAGAAGGAAATGCAACATTTTGAAAATAATACATACAAGCACCACTTAAATTTGTCCACCAAAAAACATATAAACCCTTTAACTTATGTTATGTGAAATTTTCAACAGAAATAAAACGTTCAATATCACATGCTCAAATATTTTTAAGAGGAATGTTAGTCAAAAGAGTTTTACAATACTAGTATCTATAAGCACAATCGATTCAAGAACAAAAAATGAAAAAGGGATGGTAGACAAGGAATAGAAAGAAAATCACCTCAGTGCCACCACCAGTATTAAGCCGACCAACCTCACCACCGCTAGCAGTTATTCTGACACGCCTGTTTCATCAACATTCAGAAACGAAAAGAATTCATTTCGTATCTGCTGAAAGTGGGATACAGAAACACTAGCCTGAAGTTTAGTCTAATTATTAAAAAAAAAAGAGAGAGAAAATCTAATATTTATTTCATAATCACGAAAGAACCCCTGAACTGCTACAACTCACAATAACCCCCTTAAGAGTTGCATAACAAGTACCCACAATTGATAATGAATTTGCCAATGTTAAAGGTGTGTGTAACTAAAATTAATAACTAGGTTCAATTATAATTACTTACTCCTCTTCACTGCATTCAAGTCTATGATCTGCTGACAGATAATATATTCCTCCCTCAGCAGATTCAAGTACGGCACGAGAATCACCGACTGATGCAACTGTTAAGATCCATCCTTCGATTATTACAAAGGTCGCTGTTGTTCCTGAAGTTCGTGCTGAGACAACACCAAATCAGTAAATGAGCAGCGGTATGAATATGAAAGAAAGAGAGAGCGTGAAAATTGGATTAGAAAAAAATTTAACGGGACAGCTGGAAGATTACACAGCTAGAAAAAGTGAAAACACGAGCCAACGAAACATATGACAGAACAGCTGGAAGACTACATTACTAGAAAAAACTACTTGGACTTGTCCATGACTAAATGGATCTCATAGAACAAGAATAATTTCGCAGGTTAAGAATAAAAGAACCCCAGCTTACCAACAATTACCACAGAAAGTTCAATTAAACAATAACAAATCCAACAAAAGCACCAGTACTCAGTATTCATATATGGCTAGCAAGGTATGGAATACAGAAAAAGAAAGACAAGCAACTAAGTCACACTTACAGAAATACATAGTGAATAGTCTGAAACAAACTAAGTCACTACATAGTGAATCTCCATATAAATCTGCTATTCTTTGCACAAAGTAAAACAGGTAGCTGTAAATTTGTCAAACACGTTTGTTTTCAAAATAATTGACATTTATTTAAAGCACTCTTCGCAGATGCATTGAAACTCAAAAGTATAATGACAAACAAACTACACAAAATCACTCAACAAATGCAACCAATAGTTAAAGCAGTATGGTTCCTTAAACAGTTATACCTTTTTCCTGGAAATCTTTATCTGTTTTTACAAACCCTGCAACCAAAGCCCGAGGCAATGCTGATACCCACTCATCACTGTTAAGATCAGGAGGAATAGAACTCAAGACATTGTTCAATAAATTCTCTTTGGAATATATAGCAGCTGCAGATCCATTATGGCCATCAAACAACTGTCAGGATAAATTTGGAAATAACAACTGTTAGAAGCACGCAAAGGATGCAAAATAGAAAGTCATAACTTGTAAGACTGGACAGAATGGCATTGATAGTGATTAGAAAATCCCAATTCGACCATGTATTCAACTTTCACGAATGATTTAGGGAGTCACAAAACAAGTTAATTTCTTCAATAAAAAACATCTTTACCCTACAGTCGATATACCAGCAGAAAAGAAAAATAAAACACTAGATCCAGCACACCTAAATTCTTCAATTTTGTTATTTGTTCCGTTTTATTTTACCAATACAATACCCGGAAGCTAAGTGTACAAGAATGGCATCGCGTACACGTGGCATTCACACGTATCATCAATGTATAATACGGTGTAAGATAGAATGGCATCATGCAGATCTAAAGGAAATATGTGGTATGTGGCTAATCAATGAAACCTCATTTCAAAATTCTAGTTTTTCCTTCCAAAATTACCCCTAGTACAAACAACATTAATAGGAGGGTTTTGAGGGATCATTGTCCAGACAAAAACAAGACAATGTAAAGCATCTTTAACAGTAAGTAATGTCTCAACAAATGCTCATGTTTCCATGGATACTTGCAAGACAAGTCATTTATACAACAATAGGAAATAAAGATAAGAATAATAATAATGCATCTTACCGCAAATACTGAAAATGTGGTGACTCCATCACCCAATGCCCGTTGACATTCGGTCTTAACGAACGTAAAATCTTCGCCCTTTTTGCTCTGACTGGCCTGGCCGTGCAAAATTTCAGGCCTCTCGATCTTCTCGTTGGCCAACTCCCGCTTTAGTAAAACCGATAATGGGACCGTGTGATGGTCACCACTTTTAGACATAATTTCTTGCCCCCAGCTTCAAGCCCAAGATGGCAAATGTAACCCTTTTTCTTTCTTTTTTCTTGGTTTATTGCGGTTCTTTCCTCAAGATTCAAAATTTTAACCCTTTCGCTACATCAATCTTCCCCTTTTCCTCAAGATTCAAATTTTTTTTCCTCATAGAAATAAACACATTTGATTCACTCTACAATCCTACAAGTGAAAAAACACATTCACTCTTCAATCCAAGAATATCCTAAAAATGATAAACTTTATCAAGACCCTCTCAGATTACGGCATGCGGCAAATCGAAGACATTAGAGCAGAACCAGAAATATATATACACACACATATAAGAAAGAGGAAAAAACTTTCAAGATTGACGGGAATATATTGGGCACAATTGTGGATTCAAAGGGTTTTAACACCGCCAAACCAGATGAGAAATGGTCAATTATTAACTCATGAGAATCAAAAACAAGAAATTATTTTTTGAAAAATAAAATGAAAAGGAAAACAAACGCACAGATTAGTCAATAACGAAGAAAAATGTTGTCGGGGTTGGATTCATCAACAAGTCGCAGATCCCGGCGGCTATGGGTTTCAACGCTGCCCAAAAAAAAACAATAGGTTCTTGCGCGTTTATTCTGCACCAGAGAGAGAACGAGAGAGAGTGTGTGTGTGTGTGTGCGCCAAACATTAAAGGTTTTTTCCGCTATTTTTCTTGTTTTCTACTATTTTGGACATAAATAAATAAATATGTAAATTATTAGAAAAATCAATTGTCTTTTTAAATCTTCCCTATATATAATTTCCGAATGCGCTGAGCTTACGTGGCCGCTTTTGGTGCTTCGAAATCCTACTTGACGAAAAATCATATTTCGTAATTAGGTTTGGACAAATAATATTGATATATTAATAATTAATAATCTAGGTTCAGACATTCCATAAATATTATTTATCTAATTTAGGTATTTTAATATCACTTGTACTAATATAACCTTTAATTATTGCACTAAGTGACTAAATATATCTCTGACTTTGATTTGTTTCCTTCAATTAGCTATTGAATTGTAAATGTATTTTACTAAGTGACTAATATATCTCTGACTTTGATTTGTTTCCTTCAATTAGCTATTGAATTGTAAATGTATTTTAAAAGTTGATAACTTTTGTATTTCTTATCGGGTTTACATATATTTTATATCAAATTAATCATCTTTTGATGATCTTCGATTTGACATCCATATTGTATATGATATAGAATATTATACTAGACCAGGTTTAATGGCTACAACGAATAGTATTGAAGGATAAGTCCACGTACGGACTAAGACATATGGCATCGCGATATGGGTCAAGCCCAACTTGGGTCCGAAAGGTACACTCCCCCTATAAAAGGGAGCTAAGGTATCTCTTTCTCTCATCCTCTACTCATTTCATTACTACTCTTTCTCTCCCTTTATCTGAGCACTGACT